TGCCTTGCTTAGCAGTGGAACCCGTTAGTAGTTTGTAATGCCCAGGTCAGTTTAATAACTAGATCAAAAGGAAACGCAAACTCAACACATTGCTGTAAAGTAGGAACTGACAATTGTTGACCTTTCAGTGGGTTTTCAGAGGTTTACAGTTACAATAATGTCATAGAGCAATGTAGGATTAGATATTCTATGTATGGCAACAATCTGGAACAAGAAGTGCATTGCAAAAATGGACTAGAGGAGGGAGAAAGGAAAGGGAGGAGGGAAGTGTGCAACAATGAATAAATGAAAACCCAACCTCTCTGTAAACCTTTGTTCAAAACACATTTTTTAAAAAATACTTACAGTGGCGTTTCAAGCAGCAGAGAGCAGAGAGGTGCACAGTGTTGGCCCATATATATGAAGGAGTCTCTTTGGGTGCTGACACTTCAACCTCTAAAAGGGAAAACTTGCTGGTGTGTCTTTCTACCTTGAGCACCGAAGGGTTCTCACTTTTAAATGGTTGGAGGCTTTACACAGTTGTATTTCATTTCACTTGAAATTGCCCTGCACATTAGAGGGTTGCTTAGAAATGAGGCTGAGTTATGAAATATTAAGGGCAATGATTGTCATTTGCCTTGTGGGGTCTAACTGGGTCTGGAATACAAAGTCATTTTCAAATGTTTGACTTTTTGGGATCTATGTAGCACAAGTTCCATAAGATCTACTCTGTACTGTGCTAAGGGCCAGAATGGGAAGATGGGGAGAATTCATCTCCCTTCCTTGAGCACAGAACTCAGAACAGGAGCGGAGTTAAGGTGCCAGAGAGGCTGACAGTCAAGTTGAGGAGGACAGGAAGTCATCAGTGTTTTTATTCTAAATTGAAACATCACTACTCTGGGATAGAAAGGTCCTTTGTTAGAGGCATCTTTTATTTAGTTAGCATCTTCCTTGGAGGTGATTGCTCTGAGGTGCCCACAAGTCTGTTCTGATGGATGTCACCTTATGCACCACAGAGCAAGCCCCTTCCCAGCCTTGCACCTTCCTCACAGCTGCAACCATGCTGGTGCCTACCGTCAATTCATCTTGTTGAGGGGCTCCCGCTTTTGCTCTAGTTTACCAAGCATGATGTCCTTCTGTAAGGCCCGTTCCTCTTCAGCTCCTGTCCAAAATACGTGAGACCGAGGCTCGCCTTCTTCACTTCTAAGGACATTGTGGATGTACTTCTTCAAAAATTGCTTGTTCTGCCGGCAGTCCATGCTCTGTTCAATGTTCTTTGCCAACACCACAATTTCTAGGCAACAATTGTTCTTCAAGCTTCATTGTCCAGCTTTTGTCCACGTATGTTGTCATTGTGATTAGATGCTGTTAAGTCACCTACAATGCATAGAAACCTTATGAACAAGAGATCGTTTGGAACCTTGCCCTGTCCTGTGCCTTTGTCACAATCCCTGTCATGCTCAAGGCCATTGTTCTCCTCATTGTGTCAATCCATCTTGTGGAGAGTTTTCCTCTGTTTTCCCCCTTACCTTTCCCACTATGATGCTTTTTTTCAAGTACTAGACCCGCTGACAACATGCCTGAAGGATGTGAGACTGAATTTCACCATCCTTGCCTCTAAAGAGCACTCTGGTTATACTTCCTCCAAGACAGAGTGGTCTGTTCTTTTGGAAGCTCATGAATATTCAGTATTCTTCTCCAGCACCACAATTCAGAGGCGTTCATTTTTCCTTAGTCTTCCTTATTCATTGTTCAACTTTCAGATGCATAGGAAGCAATTGAAAAACAAAAAAAACAAGGCTTGGATATGGCACGCCTTAGTCTTTAAACTGACAACCTTACTCTTTAGCTCTTCAAGGAAGTCCTTGGCAGCACAGTGCAAGATGTCCTTTGATTTCTTGACTGCTGCTGACATAGGTGTTGATTGTGGGTCCAAGTAAAATGAAATCCTTGACAACGTCAGTCTTTTATCCATCTGTCCTGATGTTAACCTAGTGGTTTAGAGGTGTTTTTATTTCCTTGATGTTGGGATTGAACCCATACTGAAAGCTACTGTCTTTTATTTTCTTCAGTAAGTGCTTCTACTCATATATATGTTGTTGTTGTTATGTGCCATCGAGTCGCTTGCGACTTATAGCGATCCTATGTACAAGAGCTCTAAACGCAATTCTATCCTGTGCCAACCTAGCCATCTCAAACGCACTTATTCCCACCGCTCCAGTCACAGAATCAATCCATCTCATCAAAGGTCTTCCTCTCCTTCACCGCCCCTCCAGTCTGCCAAACATGATGTCCCTCTCCAAGGACCAGTCCCTCCTTGCAACATGCCCAAAATATGTCAGACGAAGCTTCAGAATTCTTGACTCCAGGGAACACTCTGACTTCACCCTCTCCAGAACAAACCTATTTGTTCTCCTAGCAGTCCATGTTATATTCAACACTCGTCTCCAGCACCACAGCTCAAAGGCATCATTCCCTTTTCTATCAACCCTATTCACTGTCCAACTCTCTGATGCATAGCACATAATTATGAAGACTATAGCCTGGATCAGGTGCACCTTAGTCTCCAGCCTGACATCGTTGCTCTTCAGTACTCTTGAGAGGTCCCTCACAGCCGACTTTCCCAATGCAATTCGTCTCCTGATTTCCTGGCTACTGTTACCAAGAGTGTTAACTGTGGAGCCAAGTAAATTAAAACTGCTAACTATCTCAATCTCTTCACCATCCATGCTGATGCTGCCAATTGGCCCAGTGGTTAGAATCTTTGTTTCTTGATGTTGAGCTTCAGTCCATATAGGGGAGGCTGCAGTCCTTGACCTTCTGCAGCAAGCGCTTCAGGTCCTCCTCAGTTTCAGCAAGCAGGGTTGTGTCATCTGCATAACGCACCAATCCCGATGCCACATTCCTCTTCGTATAGCCCAGCGTTTCGGATGGTCTGTTCTGCATACAGATTGAAAAGGTATGGAGACAGAATATATCCCTGACGAACCCCCTTCTTGATTTTGAACCATGTAGTGTCTCCTTGCTTTGTTCTGATGACTGCCTCTTAAGTATAGGTTTCACATTAGCACAATCAAATGTTCTGGGATTCCCATTCTTCTCAGAGTCATGGCTTGTTATGATCCACACAGTCAGAAGCCTTTGCATAGCCGTTGAAGCACAGATAGAAATTCTTCTGGTATTCTTTGCTTTCTGCTAAGATCCCTCTGACATTAGCTATAATATCCCTAGTACCACGACCTCTTCTAAATCCAGCCTGCACATCTGGCAGTTCTCTGTTAACATATTGTTCCAAACATTTTTGGATAATTTTCAGCAGAATCTTGCTTGCATGTGATATCAATGATATTGTTCGATAATTTCCGCACTCTGTTGGGTCACCTTTCTTTGGAATGGAAACAAATATCGATCTTTTCCAATCAGTGGGCCAGCTGGCTGTTCTCCAGATTTCCTGGCACAGCTTAGTGAGCACATCCAGGCCAGTGTCTGTTTGTTGAAATATGTCAATTGTTATGCTGTCAACTCCTGGAAACTTATTTCTTGCCAATTCCTTCAGAGCAATTTTAACTTCCTCTTTCAGCACCATAGGCTCTTGCTCATATGTCATTTCATGAAATTCTTCTATGTCAGCCAATTCTTTCTGATACAGTGACTCTGTGTATTCCTTCCATCTTCTCTTGATACTTTCAGGATCATTTAACATACTGCCCAAAGTATCCTTAAGTATTGCCACCCGTGGTTTGAATTTGTTTTTCAGCTCCTTCAGCTTAAGAAACGCTGAGCAAGTTCGTCCCTTTGATTTTCTGACTCCAGCTCTCTGCACATTTCATTATAGTATCTTGCTTTATCGTGTATATGTATATATGTGATGATTGAAAATAGCACGGCTTGGGTCAGGTGCACCTTCATTCTCGAAGTTGTCTTTGCTTTTGAGATGCAAGAGCAAAGCTGTATCATTGAAGCTGGGTTTTCCACATGTCTGGCCTCAAGATAGCAGGTCAGACGGAAGTAGGTTTTTTTTCATTTGGACCCAGTTCTGTGTTTGATGGGAATTTGTTGCTGTTGTGGTTAGCAGCCAGAGACTCATGACAGCCCAGCTCCACACACAACAAAGCAAAACCCCATCCAGTCGTGTGCCAGACCTGCCACTGGTTACAGATCAGGACCCAGAGAGTTTTTGCTGGTTAATTTTCAGGATCTCAGCAGGTCTTCAGAATAAGGCCTATCTTAGCATAAAAATTTATCTGAAATATAGCATCTAAACAACAAGATACATGCCTCCTGCCTGTAACCAGATTCCTAAATGTGAACAAAAGGACAGCCTATGCATTTTTCAGCTTCTTTGTTCCCTTCTGATTTTTTATATCAACACCCTCCTCCCCAGTTGCTCCCTAAATGATGAGTTTAAAGACAAGAGACTAATCACCTCCTAAGTCACCCTGGGCAAATTTGAGGGGCCTCCTCTTCACAGTCCACACCTGCCTCCTGCTGCCTCAAGCCCAGTATGTGGAGCCTTTTTCTCATGGCTCAGAGGGTAAGGAGTTGTGCTGCCAACCCAAAGGTAGGTGATTGGAATCCATCAGCTGCTCTGAGGGAGAAAAAGGGGCATTCTCCTCCTGTGTGATTTACAGCCTCCAAAAACTTGTGGGAGGCTCAGCTGTGAGTTGGTTCCAACTCAACGACACACACTAGCAACAACAGCAGCCCCTTTTTATTCCCACCTCCTCCTGTGTTATGGGATCTGCTCGCTTATTCATAGGAGGGAATAAATGATGAAGAGTAATTGTTCCTTTCTGGAGCCTGCATTTAACAATCTAGCCAATGCTTTCATTTAAAAACGAAAGATAGACCTCGTGGAAAGATAAACTCACTCACAGAGGCTCCTGGGGTGCAGTCCCTCTTTAGGGAGGCCACCAAGCACACCTTCCCCCACAGGAAGCAAAGACTGAAGCTTATTTGACTTAAATGACTGTAGGCTCATTTGCTTCCCTGAAAGCAAGACCCATAGTACCCATTCTAGGATGCCGCCACCGTAACACAGGGATGTCAGCAGAACTGAACTGTAAATCAAAGCCTGGAACAAATCGCTTTTACTAGCTAAGCCCTAAACCTAATTCAAATAGTGTCTCTTCACTGGACCATGAACCGATTTCATTATCCCCTTCCTTCCCCAATCTAAGCTGATCAGTTTAACCCAGAATTGAACCAGAGCTTTTCTAAATCTTTGAGTCCCTTCAAGACAGGGATGTCCTGACCATCCAGCTAGTCAGTCCTGCCCAGTTTACAGATGAGGACGCAGAGGCCCTGGAGCTGTGGCTCAGCTCAAAGCCACGTGGCACCTCAGAGGTATCTCGTTACCCTGGTGGTCATCGTTGGGGCTAGTGGTCACTCAGGGTGGCCCTGGGGAGGGGAGCAAGAAATGCTCCCTTGTTCTGCACCACTCTCATGATCATGTGACCATGGGCCCAACCTGCCTCCCCATGGAGCGGGCTCAACTTCTAACACTGTATTGGACAGCGATCCAGGGTTTTCATTGGCTAGTTTTTGGAAGGAATTTGCAGGCATTTCATCCTAGTATTAGTCTAGAAGCTCTGTTGAAACCTGCCAACCATGGTTCACCCTGCTGGATTTGAAACATCAGTGGAACGATACCACAGCACCATGCACAGCACCTCCATACAGCACTTTGACAGATGGGTGGGGGTTTCCTCTGAGAGGCACTTTACTGTTTCCATGGTTTCATGTGATGTTTAGATTCAAGAGATTCTGATTTGTGTTATATGTTGCATATCAGGAGTCCTTATTAAAACAAAAACGCTGGCAACTTAAATGAGAGATGAATGACAACAATGGAATTCTCTCAGCTGTCTCTCCTTCCCATGGCCCTAGAAAACAGAAAGATTTCAAATTTGTTGTGGTCTGACTTATGTTACAATTACTAATATTACCATTGTTATTGTAATTTACTTTGATCAATGTACTAATTTGTAAAAGTAACTCCAGTGGCCTACTCGCTAGGAAATTATGCTGCTATGGCTGACTCTGAGAAGAATGGGAATCCCAGAACATTTGATTGTGCTAATACGAAACTTATACTTGGACCAAGAGGCAGTGGTCAGAACAGAGCAGGGAGACACTGGATGGTTCAAAATCAAGAAAGGGGTCCATCAGGGATGTATTTTTGTCTCCATATCTTTTCAATCTGTATGCAGAACAGATCACCCGAGACACTGGGCTGTACGAGGAGGAATGTGGCATCAGGATTGGTGGAAGAATCATCAACAACCTGTGTTATGCAGATGACACGACCCTGTTTGTTGAAGCTGAGGAGAACCTGAAGTGCTCACTGCAGAAGGTCAAGGACTGCAGCCTCCTATATGGATTGAAGCTCAACATCAAGAAAACAAAGATTCTCACCACTGGGCCAATTGGCAGCATCAGTATGGATGCTGAAGAGATTGAGATAGTTTACTTTGTCCCACAGTCAACACTCTTGGTAACAGCAGCCAGGAAATCAGGAGACGAATTGCATTGGGAAAGTCAGCTGTGAGGGACCTCTCAAGAGTACCGAAGAACAACGATGTCAGGCTGGAGACTAAGGTGCGCCTGATCCAGGCTATAGTCTTTGCAATTACATGCTATACATCGGATAGTTGGACAGTGAATAGAGGTGATAGAAATAGAATTGATGCCTTTGAGCTGTGGTGCTCGAGAAGAGTGTTGAATATACCATAGACTGCTAGGACAACAAACAGGTTTGTCCTAGAGAGGGTGAAGCCAGAATGCTCCTTGGAGACAAGGATTCTGAAGCTTCGTCTGACATACTTTGGGCATGTTGCAAGGAGGGACTTGTCCTTGGAGAGGGACATCATGTTTGGGAGAGTGGAGGGGACGGTGCAGGAGAGGAAGACCCTCAATGAGATGGATCAATTCTGTGAGTGGAGTGGTGGGAATGAGTGTGTTTGAGACAGCGAGGTTGGCACAGGATAGAATGGCGTTTAGGGCTCTTGTACATAGGGTCGCTATGAGTTGCAAGCGACTCAATGGCTCATAACAACAACAACAGCAATCCACCTGAGCTTCCTTGAAAGATGGGCAATCTCCTCCCAAGCTGTTTATAACCTTGGAAACCCAATGGAGACTCAGCTATGATTTGGTTCCAATTTAATAGCAATAAGTGAGTGAGTTATCGAGTATGTGACTCATTTATAATTTACCTTTCAGAGATCATAACTTCTCCTAACTCAATAGTTCTTGACTGGGGGACATATTTCCCCCTAGGTTGTATTTGGCATTGTATTGGTAGACATTCTCGTATGTTGGCTGCTGGGTACTACTGGCACCTAGTGGATAGAGGCAGGGGTGCTGCTAAATGTCTTTGAAAAAGCGCAGAACAGTGACACAATGAAGAACTGTTGTTAAGCTGCTTCCAGCTCACCCGTCATGCCCCAGGAGCCCGTGGAGAACAGAGAGAAATGGTCTTGCTCCTTCATATGATCTGTTGCAGATCTGACTGTTGTGATCCACAGGTTCACCGGCCAATTTTTGGAAATAGATTGCTAGGCCTTTCATCTGACTTGGTCAGGAAGTTCAGTTGAAATCTGCCCAGCATCATGGCAACTTTCAAGTGTCCACTGACAGATGTGTGGAGGCCATTGTGAGGAGCATTGGCTGGGAATTGAAGTTGGATCTCCCTCCTGGACAGCAAGAATTTCTACCATTGAAGGACCAGTGCTCTCTTGAACAGAATTGTTGCTAAATGCTGTCCATTCAGCTCCAACTCATAACAACCCTATATACCACAGAATGAATCACCACCAGATATTACCCTATCCATCCCAAAATGTCAGTAGTGCTCTGACTGAGAAACTCTCATCTAAATCAATACAAAAGGGAAAGAAATGTCTCCTACAATCCTATTACAATCAATACTCTTGACGTTTCCATGTCCTTCCCAGCCTCTACCACCAGACTTATTTCCATTTCTGTCATTCTCTTAATAATAGCAATGATGCTCACTAAGAGAACTCAGGTGGGATAGTCCATAGAGTTGCACTAGTAACCTGAAAGTCCATCTCCAGTGGGTCAAATCACCACTGCCTCCAAGGGAGAATGATGGGCACTCCCCTCCTGTTACGATTTACAGCCCTGGAAACCTGGGAAGTGATTGCTAAGAGATAGAGCCACTCAGACAGTAGTGAGAACACACCCTGCAAGCCACTTCCCTTCACTTACTGTTACACCCTCAGCTTCTGTACCTCGTGCCTGGTTGTCTCCATAGTCACCATTTTTCATATAAAACAAAACAAACCATACACTTCATTGTCACGGAGTCAGAACCAACTCATAGACAATCCTCTAGCAGATTCTCAAGGCTACCACACGGGAGGAGAGTGTTCATCTTTCTCTGTTGCAGCTTCTGGTGGATTCAGAGAGGCACTGCCCTCGGGTTAGCAACCACGTCCTACAGACTCAGCCACAAAAGCTCTGGCTCCCCTGGCTCCTGAGAGAGAGGAATACACCTCAACAGTTTTAATAGATAGGGTATAATATTTTAGGTAGGATAATGCCTCATGTTATACTTACTCAACTAGCTCAAATTTCTCATTGGTGTGCATTTTTTAAAGGATGATTCAAGAAGGCTGTGCCCTTTATTGTCTAGTACTGCTGTAACGTAAATACCACATGTGGGTGGTCTCACCAAACAAAACCCCATTTTCCCACAGTTTGGGAGTACACATCCCACTTGCCATCTTCAGGGGAAGACCTTCTCCCTCCACTGGCTCTGAATATCCCCACCTCCATTGAACATTTGTGGCCCAGTGGTTCTTGGATCCGTGTGCCCCAGCAGTGATCCTCCCTTGGGTGCAGGAGCTACTCTGCAAAGGGACCCCAGCTCCAGAGGACACACTATGCTCTTGGCTTTCCTTCCTTACTGGTAGGCAGGCCCCTCCTCTCCACTCCTTTCTCCTTCAATCTCTTGTAAGACAAAAGAAGTATGACATAAGCAAGATTTGGCTTGAATCAGAGGAATACTTGAGTATTGCCTCATGTAAGGTTGCGACTTAAGATACAATTTAAGATTCTATAGAGTCCCCAAGGCTGTAAGTTGTAACAGGAGGAGATAGCCCGTTATGCTCCCTTGGAGGCACTGGTAGATTTGAACTACTGCAGACACATGGCTTTTAGGGTTAGGAGTACAACTCTTCCTAAAAACATAACGAGTTTGAGATTTACAACACACATCCCAAAATGAGGCATAATTACACCAGATCACAAAATCCAGATCACATGTCACAACCATACCACACTGAGAGTTGTGGCCCAGCCAAGTTGATAGATATTTGGGGGGGGGACACATGATTCAATCTGTGACAGATAGTATATGATGGGAGTAGCTTGCAGAGCACTCCTGGGACCAGCCATTTCTTCCTTCCATCTACATCAGCATCATAGTCCTCATCACCAAAAGGCCTTTATGAAGCAAATATACCCTGGTGGATATAACCCGGCTCTGGATGTGGGGCTGGGGGGACCTCTGCAGACACCTTCCCACCAGCCCCTGACATCCGGGGCATGCTGGCTCGGGCAGAGCACATATATGTCAGCCAACCCCAGACACTTCCAAAGGCTGGGCTGTAGTCCCCATGCAGAAGGTATGAACTCAGAGTCTTAGGCGCCTTTCATTCATGCTAAGCATAATGCCCTGAATTCCCTCCTGAAGCTGCCTGGAGTTTCTTAGGAAACAAAAGATTTTAGAAGCCACTGAGAGGAGGGGAAAAGAGGAGGGAGGGGAAGGGGAATATGCCAGTGGACTTCGGACTGGGATCAAGAGTCCTGGGCTCCCAGTGTACACCCTGGGAGGATGCCAGCGTTCCCAAAGCCATTCTTCCTGAGACTTCAGCCCCCCATTCCCTCAACTCAGCACCTCCGCTCTCCCTACAGGTGTTCCATGAGCATGGCATCCTCTTCGGCTACCGGCACCCGCAGAGTTCAGCCACTGCCTGTCTCCTCAGCCTTTTCCAGATGACCAATGAGACCCTCAACATCTGGACTCACTTGCTGCCCTTCTGGTACCTCTGGACCCCCTAGACCAACCTGTCTCATTGAGGAACTCTGGGAACTCCGGCATCTTTTAGACACAGCTGGGTTTGGGTGGGCCGAGGCTCTGAGCTGGGATTTTGGTACCATGTTCCTTTCTGTGAAAGCTCATGTGTGTGTGTGGGAGGGGGAGATAGAGATGGGAGATGTTGGGGTCTGCCCTTGGGATGAGCATTGAAGCATGGGTTCTAGTTGGAGTTGAGGTGCTCTTGCCAGCCCCCCATGCTTGCTCTGCACCCCTAATCCAGTGCTTGGGTGAATAATGTTATTTTCATTTCCTTCAGCACTGGAGGTTCTGAGTCTTTCAGTAGCCCTGGTTAAAATGCTTGAGCAAGTAAGGAGCCCAAGTGGGCTAATAACTTGAGCATGGGGCTGCCAGCCTAAAGGTTAGTAGTTCAAATCTACCAGCTACTCCACAGAAGAAAGATGAAGCTGTCTGCTTCTGTAGCGATTTACAGCCTTGGAAACCCCAAGGGACAGCCCTCCTCTACTATAGGCGACTATGAATCACAACTGACTCATTGGCAATGGGTGTGGTTGTTTGTTTTGAGCAAGGCCTTTCAGCTCTCTGGGCTTCACTTTCTCCCTGTGTGAAGCAGGAGTATCAGTTGCTCCTTCCCAGTGAGCTGTCAAGGTTGTGAGAAAACATGGGCAAAGCCACCGGGCACAGAGCTGTGATGCCCTGTAATGGCCCTGGAGTGGAGCCAGCTAAGGGTAAGGCTCTGGGCTGCAGGTTCACAGTTAACGGGAGCAGCAGAAAAGCTAACAGGAACTTCACTGAGTAAAGTGGAGTGAAGGTCAATGCCATGCATCTCACATCTTTGCTTACTGAAGGGTCAGTGGTGCTAGGACTATAACATAGCACTATAGTGTTTCCAAGCTAGAAGGTTCTCAGGTCATTCAGTCACCCTCCATTGCATGCCACCATTGGCTGGCTTACGTTGTTGTTTGCCTTGAGTCAGAATCGACTCACAGCTGACCCTTCAGTGGGTTTTCAGAAGCTGTAAATGCTATGGAAAGAGATTTCCCATCTTTCTCTCATGGAGCAGCTGGTAGATTCGAACCGGCTGCCTTTGGCAGCACAACTCCTTCTAACTATGGATATAATGGGCCCAAGGAAGGAATAACCTGCTTACATCACCCACCAGGTCGTGGTAGAGACTGGCTTCTGGGCTCCTATTCCAAATATATTGAAAACCCAGTTGAGCAGGAGGGACCGCAGGAGGACTGTGAGGGGAGACGGTGCCCAGGAAGACCCCTGGAGCTCCATGTTGAGGTCAGCTTTCCTGACCTGTAGTCAGAAGACAGACCAAGAGCCAAAGAGAGTAGAAAGGTTGTTCATTCTCAGGAACTCCTCCAGGGAGAAGAGGGCGCTCGGGCTTGGGGTGCGGTCACGTGAGCCGTGATCAACTGACAGCCCCAAGTTCTAGATCTGCAGAACACTCGGGAGGGCCGCCTGGTTCTGCTCCAGGCAGCCATTTGTTGTTTTCATTCTCCACTTGGGCAAAAAGTATGTTGTTGTTATTGCCTTTGAGTCAATTACATCTCACAGTGTTTCCTAGGCTGTAGGATGGAAACTTAGGGAAGTACATTGTTCGAACTTTTCCTTGTACAGTCATTGAGTGGGTTGTAACTACCAACCTTCTGTTTAGAGCTGAGTACTTAACTGTTGCATCACCAAGGCTAATGGTAAGAACTACTCAGGGACTCATTAGGATTCTATAGGATAGAGTAGAATTTCCCATACTATTTCCAAGGCTCAAATCTTTCTTAAAATAAGTTGCCACGTCTTTCTCCTGGGAGCGGCCAGGTGGGTTTGAACTGCTGATCTTTCAGTTAGCAACTAAGTACTTAGCCATACCACCACCAGGGCTCCTAGAGGAAATGACACATGCTAAAAGATTACATCATTGCTAAAGATAATGAATTGCTTTCTTCCCCAAGTGCCTAGCTCTCCCTGGAAGTGCCAGGGTGACCTGCTCCTTATCTGTCCTCCCAGGGCCCTGCTGGAGACATGGGAGCATCTAGAACATAGATGCATCCCCAGCTCCTGGTTCTTCTCATCCCACTGCTCTTTCCCTGTGTGATAAGGTGTGGGGACCTGGCTCTGTCAGCAGACAGAGGACAGGGGACAGAGCAGATAGGGGACCTCATCTCTGAGGCTTGAACTGTACGGCCTTCCATTTGCTGGATGAACCACAGTTGAGTGAAGCTGCCTGGATGTCTGTGCCGCCCTGTTGATCATTGCATGGGAGTCTTTGGACTCCTGTGACCTCCTACATGTTTTGCAGCCTAGTCAAGGTGGATAAGACCTACCTGATGTGTGCAGTGCCCCTACACAGTGCCAGCGCTGAGAGATGATCCCACTGGAATTCAGAGCAACAGAGATGGCTTTCTGGTCTGGGCTCAGGTGCCCTAAGGAAAAAGGGGGAAAGTCCTGGTGGCACAGAAGTTACAGTTCTTGCCTGCAGACTAAAAGTCTGAGGCTCAAACTTTGGTGGCAATCTAAACCCTATGAAGCACTTCTACTGTCTCGGAATTGGAATTCAAACCATAGTAACAAGTTGGTTTTGGGTCTTTAAGAAATGAGAGTGGGAGCAGTTGTGGTTCAGCCATGGAATCCTTACTATCCATGCAGGAGACCTGGATTCCATTCCAAGTCAGAGCACCTCATGTACAGCCGCTGCCACCTGCCAGTAGAGGCTTGTGTGTTACTGTGACAGTGAACAGCTGTCAGCAGAACTAACAGACTTAGAGTAGGAAGAAAGGTCTGGTAATCTCCTTCCAAGAATCAGCCAATGAAATCCTATGAAATATAGTCCCTATTTTTGCAAAATTAATGTGCACCTTCTATGTTTGTTTTCTAGCTGCTCCCTGCCCTTATGAGGTAAAAAACAAACAAACAAAAAGTTTTCAAAAACTACCTCAAAAGAGGACAGAACAGTTGGCAAACAAATATGTTATCAGCATAAGTGTCTTTTGACTCAATGGTACCTCAGGAGTAAGGCCTGGTGATCTGCTTCTGAAAGGTTGTTGTTTTTATCTGAAGTTGGAACCAACTCAGAGCTGACCCTCCAGTAGATTCTCAGAGGCTGTAAATTGCAAGAGAGGAGATTACTCATCTTTCCCCATGAAGTAGCTGGTGAGTTCGAACTACCTGCTTTTGGATTGACAGTGAAACTCCTTCTCCGTTAGGCCACCAGCTACAACCTTGAAAACCCTATGGAGTCCATCTCTACTGTGCATGCATGGGGCTTCCTTGGGTCACATTCACATTTGATTCCATGACAACTAACAACAAAAGGAGATGACACCTTTCCTGTGCAATCCCATTAAAAAACCTCAATTAGTCACAACAGTTTATCTACAACCAGTTAGGGGGATGGCACAAAACCAAGCTGCCTTGTGTTCTATTGTACATGAGGTCAACATGATTTGAGGGCCAACTGAGTGGTGGCTAATACTACCACCGGGAAATATGCTTGAGATTATAAAAGGATATATTTTTTAAATAACATTTTATTGTATTTGTATTGAAAGTTTACACAGCAGTTTAGGTTCCAATTCAACAACTTCTACACAAATTTTCCAGTGGCATTGATTACAGTCTTCAAAAGCATGCATTTTCTCAATCCTTCTTTTCTGGTTGTTCCATTTCAGTGAACCTAGTTTCCCTAAGCTCTTATATTCTCAACTTTGTTTTAAAGTAATTGTTGACCATGTGGTCAAGGGAATCTGTTCTGAGAAGCTGATAGTATAAGCTTTATTTTTGCTGGATTGAGCAAACAGCCCTCCAGCATAGCTGGAAAATTCAACAATACTTCAGTTCCACTAAGAAAAACTTTGTTAAACTCCTTGTGCTGGAGGAGTTAGTGGGAAGGGAAACGTCATTCTCTGAAAGCAGTCTGTGGAAGCAGAGAACTCTGCGGGAGGGAACCCCCAGGTACGGGTTGTAGTTTAGGCAGATCTAGCAACAGGTGATGCAAAACTCTACATGGAGACAGAGCCCAGAGAGCTGTGCTCAGCTCCCTGACTACTGTGTCTGCAGCCCCTTGAGAAATGTACTGCAATCCTAGTGGATGAATTATATGCAAGAGGAGGACAAAGACAGGTCTCTAGCCTTTCCAGATCCTGTGTGGAGCATTGCTCTTGTTGGAGAAATCTTTCTGCAGAGGAGGGCACAAGCAGGTCGGAAGAAACAAAAGATAAACTGTAAGGATGATAGAGAGTCAAACATGAGCCATGGGAAGAATGGTTGAATGAACTGGGATTATTTAACGTGACGTTCAAGGTTGTATATAAACGCTGCCTTGAAATTTATGATAGGCTTGCTTTCTATAGTCCTAATTGGGAAGAACTAGAGAGACAGATTCCAGTTCAATGAGGGGCAACTTTTTAACACTTTAGAACCAGGTGGGTTGATGAGTCAGTCCCCATCCTTGTAGGTGGTGAGTGCCCCCCTCCTTGATAGCATGCAAGCTGAAGTTGAAGAATAATTTGAGGAAGATGCTATAAGATGAACGGAAAGGAGGAGATAAACCTTATAGGCTCTTTTGTTACCCTTCTGCTTCATTCTAACCTATTGCCTCTCAAGGAAGAGAAGACCCTCATCCCCTTTTCACCAAAGTTCGAGCACTTGGGACTGGTCAGTGAGGAGCATGGGAGACAAAAGGGGAGGCGCCTAAAAGGAGCCTCCAGCCGCAGTGATTGATGGCCCGTGCTGTGTTTCAGGTTCTTCATGTGGAGATTTGTGACCTTGCTGTATATGACGGATGTCCAGAATGACAGCTACTCATGGCCTCTGCTTGTGTACATGGGCACCAGCTGTGTGTACCCCTTTGCATCCAGCTGTGCACACACCTTCAGCTCTATGTCCAAGAACGCCCGGCACATCTGCTACTTCCTGGACTATGGTGCCGTCAACCTCTTTGGCCTGGGTAGGTGAGACCCTGGCTCTCTCCTCGTGTCCATAATCGGGCCACTTGTCCCTTCCATCTGTGAGCTGGGGTCACTGTATATGTGTTTGTAGAGTATTATGGGAATGCCAAGTCTTCCATCCAGGTAACCTGATGAATGTCTTTTAAGAAACTCCTCAAAGGCATGCTGAGGAATGGTGAAGCACTGGCCCCTGGAGAGGCGCCTGATCTGCAGTGCTTGCTGCTGTCCATGTAGGAATAAGCCCACCAAGGCTGATTTGAAGCCACCAACGTGTACGAAGTGAAGGGATGGGAAGTTCCATGTAGCATCCTTGTAGTTCTACTGTACAGATATAAACCCAAACCAAGCCCTGCTGTCAGTTTGATTCCTACTCTTTGCAACCCTCTATCAATCCTAAGACTATAAATCTTTAAGGCTTTAAGACTGCCCATCCTTTTCCATGGAGCTACTGGTGGACTTGAACCACTGGAGACACTCAGCCTTTGTGTTATCAGAGCAGCTCATTATGCACTACGTCTCCAGAATTCCCCACCAGGAATGTAGTAGATGCAAACCGAGTTCTTCCTTTAGTGAATGCACTATCAGTAAGGGAGCTCTGGTGACTTGTGGTAAGGGAATGCGCTGCCAACTCACAGGCTCATAGTTCAGATCCACCAGGGGCTCAGCAGGAGAAAGATGGGAAGTCTGGTCGCATGCAGTTTACTGCCTCTGAAAACCTACTCAGTCAGCAATGGGTCAGTTCCGACTCGACAGTACCCAACAAAAAGAAAACGCAATTTAATTTTTAAAGCTTGAATAATTGACTCAAGATTTCTAGAGTCCAGTCACTCAGTGGTGGCCAGTGTTACACGTGATAGGAAATCAGGATAGTATGTTTAGAGTAAAGAGACTTGCTAACTGGCCCACAGAGGAATGGATGGTAGACCCAAAGGTGATAAAGCTGAGGTTAACATTCCCAGTCTCCTCGTCTTTTCCTCCAGCTACTTTGCTGCTTTCTCCTCTCTCTTCTCACTTGTAGCTCTCTGCCTGTTCTCCAGCACCCTAGCTCCAGCCCTTCCTTCCCCTTGACCTGCTCTAGCTGTGAAATCAAGTCATCACCTTCTCTTGTCCAAGAGTTTGTCCATGAGGACAGTTTCTTTCCTCCTCTCCCTCCCTTCACAGCCAGCATTTTGGAATTTGCACATACATATACTCACACATACTACAGGCACATATACACACATATACATGTTGTTGTTATTTGCTATCCAGTTTATTATGACTCATAGCGATCCTGTGTACAATATACCTGGACCTCACCTTATCTTGAGCCATCCTCACAAACTCTAATAAGTTTGAGTCCACTGTTACAGTCACTGTGTCAACCCATCTTTTTTTACTGCATGGCTTTGTCTTTATTGAGGGTGATGGCAGTTGTTTTGGAGGGTGAGGATAAGGAGTAATGGTGATATTCATAAAACCAGACTGTGTCAATCCATCTTGACACAGGGTCTTCCTCTCCTGCACACGTGCAATCTGGAACGTTCATATACACACATATACTCACACATACGTGCGTAGCTACGTACCTGTACTTGCACTGCCCTTATCATCTTCTCCACTCTCACTCTTCAATTCTCTACTGTCTGATCCCACTAGTCACTGAAACAGTGGCTGCGAAGACCTCAGTGTCGACCAGACTGTCAGGATCAGTGAAGGCATCTCTGTTCTGATCTTTGGAGCCTGCCACCAGCCTTTGATGCTAGGACCCTTGTCCTCTTCCACCCCTTCTCTTTCTTTGATCCCTTTTGAAACACGCTCTTGGTTCTTCTCTTGCCCTTCCTCACTCTCTCCTTGTTGGTTGCCCTGTCCCTCCTAGTGGCCCTATGAACAATACATCAGGCCTTTACCCTGTCCCTCACTAACCTCACCAAGCCTACCTGACCCAAGCTCATTGCTGTGGTCATTGTGTCAGAATATCTTGCTTGAGAGTCTTCCTCTCTTTCTGTGACCCTCCAACATGATGTCTATTCCCAACAACTGGCACCTCCTGACAACACTCCCAAAATGTATGAGATGGAATCCCACCCTGTCCTTGGGCCTCTTCCTTACCCTGAGAGATCCCCTCCATGATCACCCTCCCCTAACACTTCTGGACAAGATGTTCCCAAGCCCCCATCTCTAGTCAACCACTTAACGCAGGTCCAAGTTGTGGACTGAGATGTCTGGAACTTTAACACCCTGTCTCCAGATCCCCTCCTATAATATCTCCTCAGCAAGTCACTCCCACTCACATCTTGGTCTTACAAGATTCAGTTCTATGAATAATCCTCAAGTACAGCATCCCCACCCTTCCTGACTTCCAGTGTTTTCCCCAACCAGGGACAAGCCCAGCTGGGTCTCCTGCAGCCTTGGATCTGCCCACCTCCACTGTCTTTCTTCTTACTAAGTTGATATACCAGCTTCCTCTCTGCCTTACCATCCTCCCTCCATTTCCCACACTCACCAGGTTTCTAGCATTTTGGCAGCTCTCTCCTTTAGAGCCTTCCAGGACTCCTATCTCATGGCTTGGGATGTAATCAAGCTCCTCCTCTTCCTGGCTGCTTGCCTGGCTTCTACCACCTACTCCAGACCCATGTGTGATAAGGGTATACGTTTTGAAGCATCACTGTGTGGCAGGCACAGTGTGAGCCTCCGACGTGCTTCACTGGGGGCACCACAGCTAGGTGCTGATGGGCGTTAGCTAGACTGGCTGGGTTTGAATCCCATCACCACCCCGTAGGCTCTTGGGCATATTTCTTAACTCTCGAAGCTTTAATTCTTCTCTGTAAAATGGGCATGCTTCCTTTCTCCTAAGAGGTCAGTAAGAAAGAGGAAGACCCTCGTAGAGGTGGATTGACACATTGACAGCAGCATTGGGCCAAGCACTGACTGTAGGGGTGGCACAGGACCTGGCAGGGCTTATTATGTTGTGTTTAGAGTTGTTATAAGTCAGAACCAGCTTAACTGCACTGCGCATTAGTGCAATTACATGTGTTCATATTAGTGATGCGTGCAAGGTGGTTCCCAGCACTTAGTGAGCATGAGGAGGAGAGGTCATTGTGCTGATGAACTCAATAACCTGACAGCCATCCCCTGAGGTAGGCACCACTGTTTGGCTCATGTTCTCAGGGAGCTAATGAGGCTTGGTGAAGATAAGTTCACCAAGATCACTCAGCATGTAGGTGGCAGAGTCAGGGGGAAATGCACACCCACACTGGCAGCCCCATTCGGATTGTCTTCACTCTGTTCATTACAATCTCATTTATCTGTGGGTCTCCTGGACCCTGGTTGCCATCTTCCTTTCCTACAGGACCTTCAAGGCCCAGCCCCTAGGCCCTCAGTGGCTCCTGCTCTGGGACCTCCATTCAAAGCCCCTGACTGTAGGGAACTCTGATGGCCTAGTGGCAAGAAGCTGCACTGCAATCCCGAAGGCAAACAGTTTGAATCCACCAGATTCTCTGCTGGAGAAGGAGGGCAATCTCCTCTACCAGTCAGATCCAATTCGACAGTGCTCAACGGCGCGCGCGCGCACACACACACACACACACACACACACACACACACACACTGACCTGGATCCACTTTCTTCTTAGCTCTGCTCCTGGTCTGTATCAGTAACTCACTGATTTCTACTCCTCAGCTAGGAATCAATCCCAGAGGACAAACAATTCATCTTTCCAATCTGATTGTCCAGCCTGTAGCTCTGTGTCTGACATCAGCAAATAGCCAATACGCGTGAAAAGAAAGAAGGTGCATCATGTCAATTGATAGAGCCTGTTGATTCTGCAGGAGCGCCGGTGGGGTAGTCCACGGGGGGCTGTGCCATTAGCCCAAAGGCAGTGCCTCTCTTGTGCTTCAAATCCACAAGTGGCTCCTTGGGAGAAAGACAGAAAATCTCTACCCATGTAAATTACTGCCTCCTGAAAACCCACCAGAGTCAGTGATGAGTCGCTTCCAAAGCCACAATAAAGAGTGAATGTGAATGAGCGATCCTACCTTTGACTTTTGTTCCATTTCTGCAGCCGCCTTCTCCTTCCCATTCTCCCTCCTATGCCCCTTGTCCAAGCCCTCAATCCCTTGCATGTAGCATTCGATCCTGATTTCTCCCTGGTTCCCAGTTTCCCTCCCTCTAGACCATCCTATGGACTTTCACTAGGTTTTGGTCACGTGGGTCTTCCACTCAGGACTCTCGGTGACAGTCTGTTGCTAACAGGAAATGCACTGTCCTTAACCTGGCATCTGCTCCTACACCCTGGAAAGTGCCTTGGTCCTCCTGCACCTGTTTGAGACCTGCTACTGTTTGAGAGCTGGGTTCCAGGAGGAGCTTCTGTGTCCAGTCCTCCATCCAACAAGAATGCCCACTCACCCTCCTGTCCCCCAGCAAGCTCTGATCAGAGCGGCTTCCTGTTGCAGTTCTTGGCAGGGTCAGAACCTCCTTTGCTCTTCTAATACCCACAGAGCCTGGCATACACCTTGCTCATAGTTGGCTCCAGCTCAGCATAGACAGCGCAGAATGCTTCCAGGCCTAGCATCAGACAAAGAGAAGAGCTTGGCTTTGTCCCTGGGGGCAGCTCCCAGCTGAACCTCCCTGAAGATAGCATGTTCAGGCACGAAGATCCTCACCCTCCTGGACCATACTGCCCTTTCACTCTCCACCATCATGTTTCCAACTTCATGTTTCCTGAGGCTGGAACTCTTAACAGAAGGCCCATCTTTCTCCTGAGGAGCCGTTGGTGATTTTGAATTACCACAGACACTTGGCCTTTGGCTTCACAGCCAGCACACTGCAGACTACACGACCAGAGTTCCTTTGTCAGGGCCCCAGCAGCGTCGTCAGCTTTGCAAGACTCCACTTGTCCTATGGGATAAGGCACAGGCTGCGCTGTAACTGGCCAAGGCCCGAGTTAGTCTTCAGCTAGGATTCCAGGGTTCTTTCTGTCCTTTGATAATGAGTGACTTTAGATCCTGAGCTGACAGGACTTGGCTGCCTCTCTGAGAGGCAGGTGAGGGCACCCAGAGAGCCACTGGACTCGGTCCCTCTCTCCAAGTGAAGCACACCTGAGCTCTTTGGAAAGGACAATAGTCTCCCCTGTTCTTCTGAACAAAATCATTAATAAATAGGTCTCTAGAATGTTCTTAGGGAGCCATCGTTTCACAAAACTCCAAATCTAAACCAAAGTCAAACTCCCGAGGTTGACCTCTTACACTCAGCCCAGTCTATGCTTCTGAGTGGCAAGGGCCCCCTCCCTCTGAAACTGATCTTTCCACAAAGAACCCTTAGTTTTGGAGGGGGTGGAAGTGAAATGTCCCTACTTTGAGAGTAAAACCAAGAAGCACACTGGGTCTGCCATCATGAATGACAATGTGTGGTTAAGAAGGGGGATTATTAGGTCTCTAAACTGCTTGGGTGTGAAGCCTGATTTTGCTACTTTTTAGCCATTTTCCCATTTGTAAAATAGGAGACAAGCAGGACTGATGCCGGGGGTTTTTGTGACACCCTTAGAATGATGCAGGGCCCATAGTAAGTCCTCAGGATAGGATTTGGGTTGTTGTTGTTAAATACCATCAAGTTAGAACTAACTGGTAGCTGACCCTCCAGCAGGTTTTCAGAGGCCTTAATTCACATGGGAGGAGATTGCCTGACTTTCTCCTACAGATCAGCTGGTGAATTTGAACTGCCAACCTTGGGATTGGCAGCACAGTTCCTTGCCTGCTAGGCCACCAGAGCTTGCTAAGATTTGGATAGGTGGAGAAAAGATGGCAGGGTATTCTAGATGCCGGGATGCTTGTGGGTCTGTGGGGATGGTGAGGGCTAGGACAGGTGTTAGAGATGATGAGAGTTAAGCCAGATGTTGGGGTTAATGAGAGCTGAGACAGATGCTGAGAATGGCAGAGGCTGAGCCAGATGCTGGGGGTTATGAGGACTAGGCTAGATGCTGGCTAGTCTTCCCAAGGGGCAAGCTGGTGCTGAGTCCCGGCTACCCTCTCAAGGCGGATCCTCTTTCCTAGGCTCAGCCATCGCCTACTCTGCGTACACCTTTCCCGACACACTGGTGCACACCACCTTCCGTGACTACTACGTGGCCCTGGCTGTGCTGAACACCATCATCAGCACCGGCCTCTCCTGCTACTCCAGGTACCTGGTCTCTCTGATCTCTGGTAGGGGTGGACAAGCCAGCATGTAGCTCCATGGTGCACTGGAGTGAACAGTGGGAGAGGCAGCTCAGTACAAGGTAGGGATTGTGGAAAAGGCGCTGGGGCTCAGTTCCTGACAGACCTCCAGCTGCTGGCAGGACCAGCTTCATAGCCTGTGACCTGTGCAGTCAGATGCATGGAGCCCGGTTCTCAGAAGGACTCTGCCCTTGCTTTAACATTCTGCTGTCATTTTCTTATTAGTTTTTCAAGAAGGAAGACTAGCAATTTCCTTTTGCTCTGCTATTGTTGTTAAGTACCATCAGGTTGGAACCAATTCATAACTGAGTGAGTTTTGATAGGCAGTAAATCATACAGAAGATAATTGCCCCCTTTTCTCTTAAAGAGCAGCCAGCAAATTCGAACCATGTGCCTTTGGGTTGGCAGTGTGATTCCTTACCACTTAGTCACCTTTTGTACCTGACCTTGCCTATTATGGGGTTGACCACATTGCTACACAGTTCAGTTATACTCATTGAACCTCAGCCTGCTCATCTATAAAATGAAACAACTCTTTTCCCCCCTTGGTACCATACCACAAGCTTGGGATCCACCCTTGTCCTTGCCATTTTAATGCATATCTGCCAATACTGCATCCTCTACCTCAACTAACCACCCACACCCAGAAACTTTCTAGAGCTATGGCCAAATGTTTTTTTCCCCGTAATAATTTCCTTTCTTTATTTGCGTAAAAAATATAATGAGGCAGCACATCTCCCTTCTGAGGTGATGTAAGAAGGATAGGTAGGATACTCAGGCCACTGAGCCCTGACCTGGGGGCCCTATCTGCTGTCAGGCCATTCATAGTCCTGAGGGACCTATTTCTACATAAGCATGATGGGCTTCCCTTCACTTAAAAAGGCCTCCCAAAACCACATTGTTATTAAAAGAAAGAAAGAAAAAAAAAAACCCAATAAAATCCCTCCTTAAAATGTAAGTGTGAGAGACATTGTTAGAAGAATTCCTGCTCTATTCTATTCAGCTCTTGGTACAAGAGAATGGTGAAGGGATCCAATTCTCCACGTGGCTTATAAAACCTCACACCTGGCTGTGTTGGTGTGACAGTGGCAGGTCACACCTGGGTTCTATCCTGCCTCATCTGCTCAAGGCTACAATTCAGAGGAGCCTGTTTAAGTCTCCTAACTTAGAACTACTACAGAACTCCAAGAATTGTTGTATGCAACCCTTCCTTCTCCATTCGACCCTCCCCAGGAAAGATGAGAAAGGAGAAGCACGTTCCCTGCAATTTCTCCAGAACGATTTCAACCCTCGCTTCCTTTGGCAACACGTAGGAATTGCAGGACCGAGAGAGACATAGGGACATTCTACACACTTGGCCAACTGTTGATTGTTTGCATTTAAATGGAGAAGTTTGATTCTTAAACAGCACCAGGGTCAGTTTTTCTATTTTGCCTTTTTGTTCCAGGTGCTGAGACAGGGCAGGAGTGGGGTATAAAACTCCAGCTCCAGTGTGCAATGTCAATTCCATTTTTGTGTTGCTTTGTTCTTTGCAAATGTCTGGCAAGTAGTGAGAACTATCCTAAAATTGAGAGCAGATAGGATTGGCCTCTTAAGAGTATAAACCCAAACCAGACACCATGTGGGTTATTTTCATAAACGTCATCTCCTCAAAGATAATGGCAATTGAAAGCTCTTTATTAAATACAGTCTCTGCATCAGGCAGGGCCTGTGAGGCCACACCAAGTGAAGATGAGGGGAGTAGATGGTCTGTGTCTTGGGTTAGACAGCCCAACACATACAGAATATAACAAGAATCGATGAAAAAAAAAAAAAAAAGAATATAACAAGAATGAAGCAGTTCAAAGACTAGACCTGTCCACAGCACCTGCATGTGGGTGCCTAGAGGGCTGTGGTCCAGGTACCTGGACATACCTGTATCTGCTTCCTGAGCCCTCATTGTTCCTGTGTGGTTGGATCCTGCAGGGCCACATAGCTCTGGTTTGGAATGTAAGCTCAAGAGAGCAGTGCTGGCTGATGGGGCAGGAAAGGCCTCTTGGGTGTGGATGAAACTGTCCTCAGGGTTAATGACTGCTTTCCCATTAAATCAGAGTGCAAATTCTTGTAATGTTTACTGTTTTTATTGTCGATAAGCTTCATGAATCACTGGCAAATCACTAGCCTGGATTGTTTTCTTCTAACCAGGAGTCTTCCCTGCTTGTCCAGATACAATGGATGGGCCTCTCAGTGCTTTGGGGTGCGAGATAATGACCCTTTAAAGACAGAGGTGAAACCAGACCTTACAGCAAAGCTGTCAGTAGAAAAGGAGAATAAAAGTGATTCCTAGGTGGGCACTGTTTTTAGTGATGCCAATCTCGTAAGACTTGATCAAAGCCCGGTCCTACCTCTGGACTTGTGTGATTGGCTGAAGACGGGGTACTTCCTGGTATAACCACTTTTTGGCTCCTGTCAGAAATACTATAGCATTGGTGCAAGTGTAAGAATTTCCTTCCTATTTCCCGGTGAAACTCCAGTCCTCCTCATGAGCATGATAGACACCCTTAACACACAAAACATACACCATTTCTACACAGTTTAGAGACATTGATTACATTCTTTTTTTATTTTTTTAATAATTTTAATGAGCATTTACAGAGATTTTGGATTTCCATTCATTCATTGCTGCACATCTCTCCCTGCCCATCCCTCCCCC